GCCTAATTAGGGGGGAAAGAAGACGCAGCGGGTTCTGGACAAAGGATGGAGCTTTGAATCCAATTATTGCCACCAGACTTTCTCTATGYGTGTATGTGTGTTTGCGCGCGCGCGTCACAGTCGATTGGAGGTTGTGGAGCTCACCAAACAGAGGAAGGATGGAGAGCTGATGCGTCTGCGTCGTTTTCCCAGCTGCTCCGGAGCTAATGATTCACAGCCCATGCAGCACATCAAGGCAGAGACAATGCCCCTCCCGCCTCCGTTAAAAAAAAGGGAAGGCTTTTACCTGGCACCTGCGCATGCACTGACGTCACAACGATGGAAACTTATTCAGGAACGACTCATGCAGGGACCCACGCTCCTTCCTGTCAGTTCCTAAAGCAGGCTCAGAGAAAAGAAGTATCTGACACCTTCTCCCCCCCCTCCCCCCCAAGTTTTGACCCATTTGATGGGCGGTTGTGATCTGTGATTTCAATTAGCAGGACTATTTAGCTCATTATTAATTCAGGAATATGGGCTTACAGGGAGAACGTGTCCTGCAGAGACAAACCTGTTGGGGACTGAGTCAGTATTCCTTGAATATTAAGCAGTTATATCATCTCTGATGGTTATCATCCTCATAAATTTTGGTTTTAAACATAATAAGAACTAAAACAAAAACTCCGCCCTCCCCTCCTGAAAAGGATTAAATCTCCTCTGGCCCTTTGCTTTCCTCCATCACTTATTGATCAAACTGGAATCAATGTCTGAGCTAACCAACTGTTCATCCATCAGTCACAAACTCACATTCATTTGCTTTTTTGTCTTTAACATAAAACATGGGTTTTAAAATATCTGGACTGTGTTAACAAGCCGGTCTTGTTTATAGCTGTAAGCTGGGAGCATCCTCTGAMTGTTCAATGAGTTCTGTTCATACAAGCATCACAGTGACGACACCAGTGGTGGTGACGTTATTGAGAGATGCTCTTTTAAAATTTTATTCTGAAGTAAACAGAGTTGTGCATCCCTGGTTTTGGGGCTCGATACCGTTTGCATCTCGATACACCGCCAACRGTTTGATTTATTCAAGATGCAGGAGGAGAAGTCTTTATGATTCAACACGAGCACCAAAAGTTTGGTGAAACAGAGTTTATTCTRTAGTGTGAAGCTGATACTAAAAAATACGTTAGAACTGGAGAGAGCGTTTGACTTTAAACACAACATAACATGCAAATAAACTAAACAAAAACTACTTAATTAAAAAATGAAATGCAACAAATAGCACTTCTTAATACATGCAGGCAAACTTAGGTGTTGGAAATATCTGTTTGTTTCATATGAATATAATTTGTAAAACAAGTGAACCAGCTACATAATAAGAGCTGGTGAAACTAAACTTAGCACAAAAAGTAAGGAAATGTGTCTTTGGTAGATTATTTCTTTCTTGTAATGCTTCTTGGCAATAAATCTTATACTGTTGTAGAAGCTGTTAATTCCCAGTTTAAATGGTGCCACAGGGATGAGCAGTAGAGCTGAAGATGTGGGTTGTGCACGTTTTCTGCCAGTCAGATGATTTTGCTGTTATTGACCCCTTGTTGTGAGCTTCTGGTACCTSCACATGCTGCCAATCATAAATTTATTGCTATAATATAACAAACACAACTCTCCTTACTTTTTRTACAAAGTATATTTAAATTCTAAAAAGAAGAGCTTTAGTGCATCTTAAATGTTGACGTTTGCAGAGCCACTCTGACTTATCAAACAAAAAAAAAAATTGCGTTAATTAGGATTTCAGTGCAAGAATGAATTAAAGGAGCACTTACAATAAAATCATCTTATGTTGAGTTTTAATTATTTTGGTCATACTATGCACACTTTATATTAAGATCTCACATGATCAGTTTGTGCTTTTAGTATGTGTCAGGGATGACTCTCAGCTACCACACCAAACTTTAACTCAACATCTGTAGAAGTGACGGACTGGAGCAGAGCAGCCATTTTTTTTTTGTTTTGCTGAGGTCAGTTGTTACTTCATTAAAATCCATCTATTCAGGAGATGTTTGATGCAAACTAACACATAATGACACACAGACACAGGCAACAACCTGATCACCCACCTCCTAGCAGTGAGTCTTAAATATGGATGACTTTTTCATGTAAAACTTTATTATTTGAGTTTATTGTCATTATCAGTGTTGAAAAATGAGCCATAAAGATGTTTGATTATTTAAAAAGTTAAAGTGAATTACTTGTATTCTAAGATGTTYAATTTTGTCAATATTAAAGTTATGTTCTGTTGAATCCAACACTGAACAGACGGACTAATATAATATATACCTCCAGCAGCCTGAGCACATCTTGTAACGTTTAAGTCTCTAAATGTAGAAACAAGGACAKTATATAAATATATAAATATCCACACGGAAGGGAATAAAAACTGAGTACTCCCTGCTTAAAAAATAATTTATAAAATTTTACTGAATATCAGTTATTTCATGTTTTCCATCATAAATTTTGGCCATAATCTCAACAACAGCTGCATCTGATCATTTTTTACAGATGAAATAAATGAGATAAATTAAGATTAGAGAATTTAAGGCATAGACCCTGACAGTTTCTCTTGCTGTAGAATGCACACACCCAGTGCAAAAGTACAATTATTTCATAAAGTGTTTTAGCTTGATATTATTCTAATTTTAGGTCTAGGCTCCAGGTTTTATGCAGATTTTTGTTGAATAAAAAAAACACAGTTTGTAAAGGGATTCAGACAAATTTTCATGGCAGAAATATTTGAAATATAAAAAAAAATGTCAAACAAGTTTTTTACGTTGGAGATTTTCTTTTTTGTCAATGTTAAATGTCATTTGGTGGTATTGGAATACAACCCATCCTCTTCAGTTGTACTAAATGAAGCCAAAGCATCTTGTTTATGCGAGCTGCCATGTTGTATTTTTGTAACCAGAGTCTGCGCACAAGAGATGTGGGGCTGGAAGTCCCGCCCACTCTCTCACATCCAGTCAGGGCATCAAATGACCTTAAAAAAAGCACCATGTAACTAAATAGAACTAAACATATTGGAAAAATAATATTTAAACTCGCAGCAGGAGTGTAAAAACTGAGTGAATCAGCAGAAACAATCTTCTTAAATAAATAAATGTAAGGTGTATTTTTGTTTTCACATTCAGTCAAATGTCCTGTTTGCTTTAACAAGGGTTACCTGCTTTTCTGCTCCAACACACCTGATTCACTGAGTGATTTGCCTCTTCATGTCCTGTAAAGCCTKTTATTAATCATTTCATTCAAATCAAGTGTGTTGGAGCAGAGAAACCTCTAAAACATGCAGGACCAGGATTGGACACTTTTTAATTTTGGCTTCCCAGTGTCAGTTAAAATGTATGTTTTGTGGTTGTCGCTAGTTCAACAAAAATAAATCCAGCAGATGCAAAGGTTACCCTACAGCAAAACATTCCAAATTTATAACCAAATTAGACACGTTTTGTTGTATCTTTCCAGCAGGATCAATAGTTTGTTGACTAAATGATGTATTGAGCGTTAAAATGAAAGTAAATATCGTACACTCAAATGCTCTGTCTTGAAAAGGCGACGTTTAAAAAGGAACGTGTCTCCAACGACACGACGACTGTTGTCCTCTCGCAGTCTGGGTTAATTTAAACAAGAACACCAGCAATTATTTATTATTTCTGTTTTCCAGATGCTTTGATTACAGGTTCCCAGCACACACCAGTGCTCTACGATCRCTCGCTGAGCTCTTTGGTCAGTGTGGAAAATGCATCACTCACATTGGACCATATTGATCTGCTGGAACATTTATACTCGGGGTCTTTATCCCTGTCCGCTAATCCTGGGCAACATGTCGTGTGCAGACAGAGTAACACGAAAACAAATCAAATCCGGAGACAAATTTCAAGGGCAAATAATATTCAGGTGTGCAGTTTAAAGCAGCTAATGTTGATTTTTTATCATGTGAAGGCTAATTAGAGGCATTTATCAGGTTAATTCACAAACCTTTTGTAAAATAAATTTTAAAAAGCCTTGATATTAACGTCATTCAGAGGGAACATGATTGAACAGCATGTGTTACCTGCAGAACCACAGCTGGATTCTCTGTTAGCTGCAGCTGCAGGTTAGGAGACGGTTCACTCGAGGACATGCAGCTCCTGCGCAAATGAGGTGAGGGGATCCGAGGTGCCGAGGTGCTGGAAGTGGAGGAGGCTGATTAACCAAAGACTGTATGTCATGTTCAGGGTTTATGATGATGGAAAGAGTGTGACTGATAGGGCAGAGGGACCGATGGTGCATACAGGAGAGGTGAACGACTGTCAGGCTAAAACACTTTAGGGACGCTTGTAGTCAGTTTTTACTCAAAAAGGCCGGTCTAAGCATTAACGTCTGAATGATTATTACAATTACTATTTGTCCTCTATTAGAAAACACACACAAAACACAAAAAAACAAAACCTATTTTAAATATTAACTGTCTCTAAAACTTGTTGGATTTGTGTCACATTTGGATTCAAGATCAATGGATACGGCAATCAAGTTTGTAATATAAGAGCAGATATAGTTAAATCAGTTCTTCCTATTATTTCAGATGTCTCAAATGAAATCATCCTGGGATTTATGCGTCGTTGACTTTCACGTGCCGATATTCACAAATAGATTCATTGTGAATAATTGGCAAACAAAAAAAATGGCTACAACKTGGTTTTACGTATGTTGAGCTAATATTGGGTGTGTTTGTAGCTGAGACTCATAGCATATTTTAACATGCTCATTGAYTGTACAGTCTGTGTTCAAAACTTTGCCAATAACCACAGGAATAAATGTTATTTAGCAAAATATCCCATGAACATTCAGACTGATTTTAATGAAACTCTCATGAATTAATCATTGGTTTTAAACCTGCAATAGATTAGCTTTTGGAGTCAACCCATTTCAAGATGGCCGCCAGAGCTAATTGATCATGACCTACAAAGATATGCTATACATCAGCATTTTACAGATATTGAGCTCAAATTTGGTGTGTAAATCATTTACATCAAGCATGAACAAATCATGTGAGGTATTGCATGAGATWATGTTTAATGTTACTGTTGTGGGTTGAAAAACAGCTAAATCTGTCATTTTTCAATATAAATTGATTTTACTTTAAAACTCAAAGCATTCCTTCAAATAATATTAGGGCTTTAATCATAATAAAATTACTAGAATACAGTTACATTTTAATTATCGACAGCAATGTTGTTTGTCAAATGTATGTTATATTTGACATGTCAAATGTAGCTTAATCTTTTKTTATCATAGTAACCATCATTACTGACCTTTAGGATGTAAAACTATAGTTCGGAACCCATTTCAGTTATCAGAAGTTGCTTAAAAAGTAATTGAGAAGTAGTTTTTTGAAGCCATATAGTATGTCATAGTCTAAAATACTAAATCAAAAAAAAAAATCAGCATTTATATAACTGACCACTATAGAGAAATAACTTTTCAGTCCTAAAACCACAATCCTCATGAACCCTGGTGGTTTCCGGTGTTGTTCTCCCTAAACGGAGCACCAGAGCTGTGTTGCGCAGAGATGCTTTTTGGGAAACCAGACTCTGGTCAGTACTGTCGTGGGAGAAACTGAAACTGAGAAAAAAAAAACAGTGAGGGGTTGCGGAGCTGGCTCTGGTTCTCTGGCGCCACATCCCCTGGAGCTGGTGAGAATGTGGGGGCTGCGCTCTTACCTTTGAAGCTTTACCTCCCACTAATTCTGGCCTTCCAATTTCCACACACGGCAGAGACAACCCCCTCCATCCTCTACCCCTCCCTCCGCCTTTGTTTCCCTTATAAGGACTTGCCCGGCCATTTCCTCGGCTTCTTCTGTGGGAGGTGGTCTGCTTGTTTGTGAGCACGGACAGGTCAGGAGAGTAACAGCATCGTTTTTCTTTTCCCGGCAGTCGCAGGAATCTCATGCTGGATGCATCTCTGTCCATTCAGGAGTTCCCCAACCTGCTTACACGTCCAATAASTCCATGATCAAATTAAAGAGTACGCAACCTGTGTCTTTAAAACTATAAAACAAGACAAGCTCATGTGTGACTAATACAGTTGAATATATACATCAACAGGCTTCACAAGTTACTTTCTGACAGTCTAATCAGTGTCAGATTTGTTTTGTCATGTTCTGATTCACGTTTACTATCAGATAAGTGAAAATATATTTCATAGGTATTCATAAATTAAGCAGTTAAGCACAATTTATCTTCAATTTGGTCATTACACGTTGCCCTTAAAGTGCCCGTGATATCAAATCTTTGTAATTAACATGGAGGCGTTTTTGGAAAGAAAACAGTGATAACATATTACAAAAGAGAATTCAAGTCCCAGAGATGAACAGTTGTTGAGGTATTSGCATGTGAARTAACAGGAAGTGATGTTAAAGGGGAACGTCTGCAGAGCAGTGCTACAATGGCTAACAATACAGAGAAGAATCTGATGTTTCATTGGATTATTTTGAGTCACTATCAGAGAGATGAAGAAAATAATATTGTTTCAATAAACAAAGATCAGAGTTCCTTTACTTAAAGAGTTCCCCTTTGATGTCACTTCCTGTTTCACGTTGGCTAAGCTAAGTTCAAAAGAACATATGCCAGTTATGTGAAAAAATGTGTAAACTGTGTGTTTTAAAGCCAWGTTTCTTAAATATAAAGATGTTTTCTTTGATTTTTTTAATTTTGTATTTGAAGGATAGGCAAGTCGCAGGCACTTTAAAGGAGATGTCAACAAGTTTAATCAAGATATTTTCACAGATGAATTCACAAATAATCAACTTAGATGAGAAATGTTTTAGCAGATACAGTATCTCCCTGTGATCCAACTTATCCAGACCTACAATTCATGCAAACAGATAGGAGGTCATGATCTACAGGTGTTAACAAGAGCTGTGTTTGATCATGTAGGATGTATGGTTTAAAAAGACTTTGCACTGTGGTCTTACATAAAATATAAATTATACATGTGCACTACCAGTGAACATCCTGACCGCACATCTTGTTCACAATGAATATAAAGGTGCATCCAAACTTTTCTTTCGTTGTGACAGTATTTGTTGCTTGAAAAGTGCAAAAGCTCTGATGGGCCTTTGGTAGCAATGCATAGCAAGCACTCTATAGCTTATCTGCATTTATAAAGGGACTTATTGTCCTCCATCAAAACCAATTCATTATTTTTTATTTTTTTATTAAACAGCAGGGATTTGGCTTCCTACCTTGTCATTTCTTTGCCAGCCAATCAGAGAAGTGGCAGGGGAGCCGGTGTTGCTTCATCACTAAAGAGTGTGAAAAATTTGGTTAGTGGATTGATTGGTTAAGAAAAAAAATTATGAAAGCTGTTTTTCTTAGGCTGAATTTTTTTATTGAATAATGGTAGAGTTGGTCAGTGTTTTCAATCTTTGAATCAAACACACACCTAATCAAAGCTTAATTATAATATATATATTATATACRATATATTATTTGAACAACCTGTAAAGTAGATATTTGGTTTTGTATTTATAACTGTTTAACTGATTTACAGGRTTAGAGTTAAAAATCAGACTGTTTGGTTTAAGTTGCTAAATTTTTCTCTCCGATTGCAGATTTTCCAGCACATATGAAAAGAATGTGACAAAGTAAAATTGCACACTGGTAATCCAAAGATGTGACTCCCATAATCTGCACCTTTGGGCAACTTTTTCTCTGTCTCATCTCTTGTCTGCTGTATGATCTGCAGTGTTTGTGTTCGATTCTCACCATTCTGGTAACGTGGGTTTTTGCAGCCATGCATGACAGCTTTTAGACGTAATGCTCTAAAAATATCTGCGCACCTCACTCTTAGCACCAAATTGCAGAGAAACACACTTAGTGATTGGCTGTTAAAAGCAAAGGACACCAAAAAATGGGTAAAATCAGTACAAATTTTAAAATTAGTCATTTCTGAAGCTGGGAAATGGTTATTTGTACAGCGAGTAAGAAACTGTTAACCTGGTTTTGGTTTCAGAGAGGGGATTGTTAATGTGTAATGAATCTCTTCTCTCCCTGTGTTGAAGCTACCTGATAACCCATGGAAGAGCGTGGCTGAGGGCTGAGCTGTAGTGGGGGCAGAAGGCTTCAGTGCCTGTCTGTCGCTGGCTGGCCGGTCCGCTGAGGTGAGGCGCCACTCTCACCGGAGCAAAGAACGGGCCGCAGAAAAGTTCGCCTGACCCTGCCCCCTTTCCACCCTCACTTCCAACCCAGGCACCCACGCTCTGGACCATGTCTAGCGGGCTGTCGGAGGGGGGCCAGACCAAGGACCTGGTGCAGAGCAGCTGCAAACCGGACTCTCCTGTCACAGAGCGCAGGAATCGAAGCGGGATCATCAGCGAGCCCCTCAGTAAGAGCCTTAAGAACTCCCGCACCCTCTCCCAGTACACAGCAGTCTCCTCTGCCACCACCAATGGACACACGGACGGTAGCGCAACAAAGAGCCACTCGGCCAAACCTCAGCCGCCCCCGCCGGCTCAACCTACTGTCTCAACGCTAACAGCAGCCAAGTTGGACCGGACCTTAGAACAAGTTCTGGAGGGACAGAATGGCCTGCTGCACTTTGCCCAGGCAGCAGCACTGTTAAAGCGGGCCGGGATGGAGCACATGCTCCTGCCTGGGGGCATGGGAGTGGGAGTTGGCGGCGGAGATACGGGCTCGGGGGCTAACGACTTGGAGGGCAGGTCTGTCGCGGATGCCGTAGGTGGTCCAGTTGACTTCCCATATGGAGTAGGGGGCGGCTTCCCCTTCAACCCGGGGCTTTTCATCATGACGCCGGCGGGAGTCTTTCTGGCGGACAGCGCGCTTCACATGGCTGGCCTGGCCGAGTACCCAGCGCAGAGCGAGCTGGCCTCTGCCATCAACTCCGGGAAAAAGAAACGGAAACGCTGCGGCATGTGCCCACCGTGCCGGCGGCGGATTAACTGCGAGCAGTGCAGCAGCTGCCGGAACCGAAAAACGGGCCACCAGATCTGCAAGTTTCGCAAATGTGAGGAGCTAAAGAAGAAGCCGTCTGCTGCTCTGGAGGTAAGTGGGTGGTGGTTAAGATGTGACTTAAGCAGAAACAACCTGAATGGTTTTGATTCATGGGATGTGTGTGTGTGTGTGTGTGGGGGGGGTATTATTTATTTCCAGGCACATAGTTCATCTTTATACCGCAGCCAAATAACTATGTTAGTTGTTCTGAAAATGCCTTGAATTTGGCCTCTATCTCTTTAAGAACCTCCTGCCGTTTCTGACACTCCCACTTCAGCACCTCATCACAGTGCTTCACGTCATTTACAACCTTTCGTAGGAGCATTATTTTTGTTGTAAAAAAAAAAGCAGCAGCATTATATAATATCAGTTTTGGTAARTGGCAACTCAGGATACAGTTGAGCTTTAAACAAATTATTCCACATTGAAGAATCAGAGTGAGTACAGAGGCTCTTACAAGACGTTTCAGCTTGGTAATATACCCCCATCCATATAAATGTTTAATTTATTTTATTTTTTATTARGTGTTCTTCCCCTTTAAGAGAATCGGTGGAGTGGGGGTGTTTGGTGGAAGGAAATGACAGGTGGTGAGGAGTGTGGTGGGTACGGCCAGGATAAGCACGCACCATAGGGTCTTTTTAATCTGCCCACCATGACCACACAAGCACCAAGCCTACACATTTCAACCAACTTCAAGTTGTTGCCATAACTCCACTGTATTTTTCTAAATGATCTATTGAATCTGAAATATGACGATTAATCCCAACTTCTTACTTTGCTTGCTTTGGTAAATAAAACAGCATATGWGGCCATAATTGCAAGCCTGTATACAGTATGTTGGTGTCCATGTGTGGGTATGTTTGTGTATGAGTGTGCATATAATGAGGTCCATCTGGCTACAGAGCTGTCATCTGGAGCACCAGGTGTCAGTGTGGCAAACGGACGCCCCTCCCTTTTTTTTTCTTTTTTCGCAGCCACTGTCCTTCTCCTCTGTGACACTCCTGCTCATCGAAATGGGCCTCAACACTTCCCGTCTTACTTCCTGTCTGTTACCTCCGTCGCCCTCGGTGGCCTAACTAACCCCTCCCGGCTGCGGTGGCAGGATGACCAAATCAATTCTCAGCAAATTGTTCGTCTCAGAGGAAACACACTTTTATGGATAACCGTGGCCCCTTTTGCCGTTACATAATAAATTGATGGACTTGTAGCGCCGTGTGAACGAGAAACCAGTGGACGGGCTTTAATTGACACAAACCGGATCTATGCTTCGCACTGCTAATGGCTGTGCTACGATCTTTTTCTGATGTTGATTCAGAATGTCAGCTTGACCTTGTGATTGTGAGCTGAAAGGTTAGTTATCCAGAGTTCGGCCTTCCATACTCTGAAGCCGCTTTGGATTGTGTTTGTTTTGGGAAGAAAAAAAATGCATTTTTTAACTCTTTTTTTATATATTAAATGAAAATTAGCCTGATTTGTTGATCTTTAAAGAGGTTTTTCATTCTAAAATTGTCTGAACAAAGCTGCCACATATATTAATTTAATTAATTGATGGAAACAGATGATTTATCAGAATAAATTTAGATTTATCCGATCATTTGACCATTGCTCCAAAGTCCAAACATAATGCTCTGCAGCAAATCAAATCCTTGTTTTCTTTTCTCCTCCACTTAACCTCTCTGAGCAGGTTTTCTTGAGGCTGTTTAGTCACAACACCTTGAGTTCTCTTCAGAAATGAGTGCGTGGAAACGCTCTGACTCATACTGTTAAACACCGCCAAGGGTTCTCCTGCTGATTCTTTTTCTTTTTTTTGTGCTAGTTATGTTTTTCAAAAAGTTCACAAGCTCTTTTTCCTCTGACCACACTTTTCCTCTAAGATGATGACTCACCACCATCCTAACAGGTTCTAACAGCCCATCCGGCAGGTATTAATCCAATTTATTAGCCTCTTTTATTTGATGCAGAACAAAACTGTGACCCTTTATTGTTCTCATGAGAGCAAAACATCATTTAACTTTTTTTGATTGATAATCACAAGGAGCTCCTCACTGCATCAGTTAGAATTAAAACAAACATTCATCACTTCTTCAGTCTTGATATATTGAATTTATTCACGTATAATACRATCTTGAGCACAAAACAATCATTGTTTGAGCTTAAAAAGCATAAAACATCTAATCATCATATATGAAGACACCGCTCATTTCAGACAGACWTCAGGATTTCTCAGTCTTTGCRGTGGGCCCTCTGATGGAGACACACTGCGTGTTTTGCTGCAGAGCTGCTGAGGACGAGCAGCAGAAGTTCTGTGTGTCACTGAAAAAAACAATCCGCTCCCAGACCAGAGCAGAAGCCGGTTTTTAATTTAATTAACAAGATGGATTTATCAGAACAAATCTTTTTGACATTGCTGCGCTTAGCAAAAAAAAATAAAGAAATAAAACAATTTTTATCCTCCTCTCACTCCGATGAGTAAACAATACTGTTTATAGGCTTACGCGACTTACGGAGGGAAGGGGGAATATTTGAGTTTTATACAAGGAAATATTGAAACCTATTGTGGATGTACATTTAAAAAGTCAGTCAAAATTTTGTGAATAACATGTGTGTGCACACACACTTTATGGATGATTTTTAGAGTAAAATTTCTAGTATTGTACATAAATAAATACAGTAATTACCTCGGAGGGGAAAGCTCATATTAGCTGTGAGTTTAAGACATTTTATGCTCAGCTAAGTGATTTTCTTCCCATTTTTAAAGCCTTTTTGTGTCAGATGTCTTTTTAGCAAACTTGTAGTATTGATTTCTGCAGAAAAGTTTTCCTTGAAGGTCATGTCTGTTTCAGTGATGCGCAGCAGGACAGCGCAGCATCGCAGTAAACTCTGATCAATCTCGCTGAAGGTCTTGTATGATTAAAAAGAGGCGTTAGATTTGCCTTTTCATCAGTCCTATAGAGAGTTTTCCCTGAGAGTTTTTTGCAGTTTTCCAGATCTGAAGTTTGCCTCCACTGTTACTGCTAAATGATATTTCTTAATTATAGAAACTAAATAAAAAAATGACTATCTGGTAACACTTTGATATGTTTTAGGACCTTTGCTTGCCATGTGGGCTTCAGTTATTGAAGATGCTTAGAAAACTGGAGCCTATGGGTATTGTTGGAGTAAAGTTTGATGAGTTAATGTGTTTATCAAGCTTTGACATCTGAATCACTTGGCCTTATAAGTCTGATTCCACACAAATCGAATTCCCCAGCAAGTCAATTAGAGTAATCTCTGAAAYCTTATATCACTATTATTTATCCTTTTTTCACCATTTCTCTACCAACTCCTCCATTCTGGGTCACGAGGAGGTGGTGTCACTGGTCTGTGAGGCAAAAACATTGAGTAAGGTTCTATATTTCTAAGTACAGTATACATAAAACAAGTAAATGTCACATTTAAACATTCACTCATATTTGTCCCCTCAAATAAAGAAATCTAATAAGTTCCTACAGAAAGGACAAAGCCATCACAAGGTAACACTGCATGTGAAAAAAACCAATTGGTGACTGTGGGAAGGAAAATGTAATGTTGTCAGGATAGATAAACATAACACTGCAAAATATCAAATTGTTATTGTTTGTAGCATTTATTTATTTATTTATTTATTTATTTATTTATTTATTTATTTATTTATTTATTTATTGTGTTGTATTCAGCAGCTAGCTGTAGCATTTTCATTTTAACCTGGGATGAAAAAACATGGAAAAGAATAACGTTGTCACTGAAACGATCTGCACTTTAAGGTTTACAGAATAACATTTGTTTGAACGTGAAATATTTCAGCTTGAAATTGTTTTAAAATGATCCACTTTGACCTTTGTTCTGCTCAGACTAACAGTTCAGCTTCTGAATTTGGTCCAAATCTCAGTTTCATCAAACTGAGGTTGTTCAAAATGCTATCTACAGCAGGTAAGATATTGTTTATAAGCTATCCCCCCTAAAAAAAAAAACGTTTTTGATGATATTGTACACTAGAGTAAATTCTGATTCACAATTTTTTCTTATTCTAAGGCTAAACTAATTTCAACCAACATTTTTGTTTTAGTGTTTTTTACCAGCTTCAAGTTAATGAGATAATTTGTCCTTTTTAAAGTAATTTATCAAATTGTTCAGTTTTGTCAGCTTGTTATCAGTAGTTCAGCAGAAACAGGAAAAACAGGTTTGATTTTAATTTCTGATGTCATCAATATGACAGTCAACTTTTCAAACGTTTCTTTTGATTCTAACATTTAACCTTTGTTTTAAAGTTTGTATTTGTAAATAGTTACGCAGCTGAAAAAAATGAATTGCAAATAAATGAATCCCCAAATGTGATCAAAGGTTTTTCCATCATGGGAATGCAATATAGAGATCTGCAACCYGATCCTCTGCATCAATCCTTTATTTTTACAGAGCTGTGACAGAGGCAAAAACATTTCAATTTCCTCCCATTTTTGCTGCGTTACGCACTCATAAATTCACCATTAACTGTCTAAAAGCAGCCTCGAAAGGCGCTGTTATTAAGTCAACAGCTCTTGTTCAGCAGGTGATTAGATCAGAGAATACAGCCGCCCGGACCGCGCCRCCAGCCGGCGTGATGTCATCAGTGTGAGCTAAATGTCAGGAGGTGAGATTCATGGTGTCGTGTCTGAGCGGTAAAATCAGCAGGAAAACAAAAACCTGGAGAAAATAGTAGTAATTGTTTTTGAATATTAACATTTTAGCGATTTTCTGAGAGTTGTTGCTTCTTTTTTTCGTCAACGGCTTTAATGCATATTCAGGGCGACGTGGGCACCACCTGTGCCAGAGCTGAAGATCTCCTGGCTCCGTGAATCCCACTGAGCTGCAGCGAGGCTCAGCTGCAGCTCAGACAGCCCGAGTGTCATATTCCCCTCCAATCAAAGATGGCACGGTACATCCCAGTCTGCTGTGACGATTATTCACAGCGTGCTTTGCTCAAAGAGGGCATGATCTCCTGTTTGAAATATGTCTCGCGGTCACTCCTCATGGATAGCTTGGACTGCTTTCTTTTTTTTTCTTTTGGGGGATGTGTGCTCAAGGTGACGAGTGAGGAAAACTAGGAGGAAATATCTCACCTGAGATTTCCTGCATTTGCATTAAAAGGTTGTTTTCTTCCCCCACTTCTCGTGTGTTTGTTCCAGCCTGGCAGCGTATACGTATACACAAGTGCAGTCCAGCAGCAGCAGCGGCAGCGGCGTGCTTATTTTAAGGGTGTTGACGGTTACCACTGAAAGCTCGTGGCAGCTCAAAGAAGAGCGTAAAATTGGCAAGTGAGGGGGAGTTAGCATGCTGAGGCCTTTGCCACCTCATAGCTCACTGGCTGAAGATGTCTGGATTTATTCTGGGAACGCTGCGTTTGAGAGAAATAAGTGCGAAGGCAGTTCCTTTCTGCTCCATATGCGAAGCCCCTCCAGGGGTGTCAGGCTCCGCAGTGGCGCTCGGCGCAGGAAAAGAGTTGAAAGTTGTACCCTGACTCTTTTTTTTTTATAAATCGGATTGTCACAACACTTTGAGGTTCTAACGTACAGGTGTGTGGCTGATATTTAAACACATCATAGGATGAGCTCATCTGCTTTTTCAGTACTTTTAGAAGTGTTTTTGTCATCATGAGCGTGGCGTTTTCCTTGGGGACCCACTTCACCAGCATCAGACGCTGATTTGGGAGTGCTGTGTTCCCTGTCCTGCTGAACACCAGACAGTCGGGACAGCAGAGACTCATAGAAACTGACAGACATGCCGACTGACGCTGAGACACATGGATGTGTGGGCAAGTCGCTGGGCAGGCGTTGGTGGGGGGACATGTTGGACTGGACAGGGAGGGTGTTAAGGGAGACAAGAAGAGGGAGACAGAGGTGTCATTGTAGACTGACGTTTGCATGAAGGTATAAAACCTAAAGAAATGCAGTGATTTTAATTATTAGACTGATTATTAAAGGCAATTTGACCTTTTTTTTATTATTCCT